TTGATGCGTGTCAAATACTCGTCAGCGAGTAATGGCAGTAGTAGTAGTATTGCTGGAGGAGACTAAAAGTCTAATCACACGGAATGAGGGAGACATATACCGGGTGCGTCTCAAAAGTGATTCAGTCCTATAACTTTTTTTATTTTTCTCGTTAAAAAAACGAGATTTGGTATGTTAGTATATGACATAAATTAGGATTGATTGACGTATTCAATTGTTTTTGGTCCCTTCCTGTTTCACCGGAAATTATTACAACTTTTGATTTTTAAATGGTAACCTCGGTATATTTCTACTTTATTTGCTAGAAAATAACACTCAGAATATGGTTTATTTGAAATTGTAACATGCGGTTCATAACGATGATTTGACTCGAAATATGTGGTACCAAACTATTCGCAAAAAATGCTTTTTTCAAATATACTAATTAGCCACCCTTGTTCCATTTGAAAAAATTGAAATATGATTAAAAATATGACTTGGACATCTTTTAACTGGCCCAGGACAAGACACGAAAAACATTTAACGATCAAAACGATTTTTCCAAGACTGTTAGGTTAGGTTAGGACTGACTGTTTGATTAAAAATTAGTGTTTTTAACACAGCTAGATTGAAATTTAAAATACGATTTGTTTTTAAGCGAAAATGTCAAAAGTTGACATATGATGTCATACTATTCAGAGTGTCATTTTCTGTCGAATAAAGTAGAATTATACCGAGGGTGCCATTGAAAAACCTAAAGTTGTAGTTATTTCCGGTGAAACAGGAAGTGACCAAAAACTATTGAATGCGTCAGTCAATCCTAATTTATGTCATATATTAAGTACCAAATCTTGTTTTTTTATCTGAAAAAATATAAAAGTTATAGGGGTGAGCCACTTTCGAGATGCACCCGGTAAAAGCCTATTTGAAATAACCAAATTCGAAACCTTGGTATTAACCCATAAAATCAGATTTGTACCTAAATTAGATCCAATTAGATCCTAGAACAAAAAAAACAATATGACAATGCCCATAACATTTTTCAAGAATTGTCATATAACATGTAGGTACTCTAAAAAGATTAGGTGTATGGAAAAGAACATTATATGTTAGGATACAATTTAAAACTAAAAATACATCCAAATCGATACCTTGAACAAAACAGGTAACATAACAAAGACCTAAAATAAATGTTCTAAATGTCCGTTATTATACCTCGTCCCACATATTCCTCACATTGAATAAAATATTTTTGTTAAATATTATGAAGAAATAATAAAAAAGCTAAATTGGCCATACAGCCTCTGAAGAAAACTTTTCTTAAGATTTTTTAAATAAATTTTTAAATAATTTTTAAAGTCTAAGATAAAGTCAAACAAACAATAATTTTGCATTTTAAATTACTTATACTGTTAACTTTTTCTATAATATAGTTTTTGTGAAATGTTGAAATGCTTTAAAAATGAATTGTTCTAAAAGATAATAATTGGTATATTATGGACATATTTCCAAAAACATTAATAATTAATAAGATATGCTTGAAGGAACAAAGCTAACTAACGCAAAGATATAAAGTCGATTCTATAGAATGTGTAATTATTATTGTTTTTGCTTATAATCCCAAGTAGCATTTTTCGGAGCCTAAAGTTTTATTAAAAGGTAACGGGTATTTATAAGAGGTTTATAAGGAACCTTAACATTTATAAGAGTGTTTAAAGTCTTATAAGAACACTATTGGTGTCAAAAGTTTTGTAACACCTCGAAAAAATTTCAAAATACTTGAAGTTTTATAATACTGCATCCAAAATGTTTTCGTTACCTTATTTATAAAACCTTTGGTGTTGGTTACTTAAGGTTTTTTTAAAAGGGTTTTATAGCGTTCTTAAAAATCTTGTTATAAAACTTTTACTCTTGGGGTTTTATAGCTTACTTCGTAAAACCCTTATAAATCCTAAGGCACCTAATAAATATTCTACAGTTACTACAAAACCTAAAGAATTTTATAAAACTTATAGGCCCAGTAGCAACTCCTTTCATGTGTAGAATAGGGGGCGCTATATTTTTAAGGTTAGGTTATGTTTTATGTTCCTGTTTTGCTTTTGTAAATCAAAGATGGAAGAAGAAAGAAAAAAACGGAAAAAAGTTAAATACAGTAGCAGTTTTTATAGAAAGTGCGTTAAAACCCGTGAAAATATTTTGGGAAGCACACCACCCACAACTACTAAAAATTATCAAAACTTAGACGTTCCTCAAGAAAATATATTGCCAAATACTTCGACTGAATCGACTGCCACTGATGATGAAGGAAGGGGCGAAGGACCTTTGGAAGAATGTATAGATATCAGGTCAAGAGATCAGATCAAAGATGGTGTTGATTTTCCATCCTCTGTGGTTTAGACAATTTTGAAGTACATTGAAGGGCTTTGTTTTAATTATTTAGATTAAAAAATTGTTTTGCAAAAGCCAAAACGCCCGAAACAAAGTGGGGTTATGGTCAATGGTCAAGTTTCTATAAATACCTTTTTGGTAACTAATAAAACTATTAAGTATCACAAAAGCACCTAAGGTTTTATTGCAAGAGCAAAATTCTCACCTAGGGAAGTGTTATAATGCCCACTTGCACCGTTTGTATAAACTTTGTTTAAAGGCTAAACAGTGATTAACTATACATATTTTATTATAGTTAATCACTGTTTAGCCTTTAAACAAAGTTTATACAAACGGTGCAAGTGGGCATAAGAGTTTTTAAGGTGTTGATGATTACTTAAAGGCCCATATAAAACTAGGGGTTTTTAAAAGGCGAAATGGCGAACATGATGTCCTTTTATAAGACGGCCATTTTATGTTTGTGTTGTTGTACTTACACAAAAAAGAAGAATATTGCATTTTAAGCAATATTAACGAAGGTTCAAGACGTATTTTTTCAAAAACATGAGGATAAGTAATGTTGCGCAGTTTATTTGAAAAAAAACAAATCATGAGACGTAATTTTAATTTTTTGGTTTTTACAAAATAAATTATATTTGAGTTCTAAACGGAGGCGCTTTAGTTTTAAGAAGGGTAAAATGTTAATATTACTCGATAAATCTTCCGTGCCAATAAAATTTAGTCCTCATAGAATTCTTACAGAGTATTTAATTTGTTATGATAATTATTATAATACGCCATTTTCATCAAAGTGAAAATCCATTGCTGTCAACTTTAAAGTACAAGCAGAATAATAATAACAAGGACTTGAAATAGAATATATTGCAAACAAACGTTGTAGAAAGAGATGAACTAAAAAGGGGCGTTTTTTATTATGGTGTTTATAAACACCGTAAAGATCAGGAAGTTTATAATGGCTATTATAAGGAATATTAAAGGTTTTAAAGCGGTAACGAAAATGTATTCCTTGCCGCTATAAAACTTATTTGTGGTTTATAAAGGTAACGACAACCTCTTAGTTACCAATAAATGGAGAGTAAAGGTCACGTTAAAGGTTTTATAAGGTACTAAAATTTGGTCACCGTTACCTTTATAAGATTCTCCATTTAAGTGCTATAGGGTAACGAAAACGTTTCGCGAATATATTCGTTATAAAACTTAAATAGTTTTTTTTTTGGTGGTCGTTCTCGGTAATATATTATAGTTCATTATTGACACTAAAAGGAATTTCGGACTTCCACTGACTTTATTTGTTTTTGGTTAACACAACGTTTCGGTCAGACAGAAGGATCACTGACAATGACGCTATCAAGTGTAGACTACCCGTTATCAAGTTTACACACTACAAAAGACAATGGAAGTCGAAATTCTTTTAGTTTTCATATTATAGTTCATATGAAGATTATTTTTTATAATATAGCAATGTATCTACAACAGACGAAGAAAAGCGTTGAAATGTATAATTTTCAATTAAATATAAAATATTTAGCTTACAAAGGAGTAACAAAATAATAATTAATAGTCATAAAATTAATGGTACTTATAAAGTTGTCCAAGGAGAGTCAGATGGTTGTCGGGCTCATCTAATACCTGTATACGACCACGAAATATTAAGTACCAGCCGGTCTACTTATCATTTTATCTATCAAGATTCGCATGTCTTAAGTTATGTAACAAGTTGGATTTTGATATCCATTACAACATAGCGTGTTCAATACCCTGTCACCAAAATTGGCGTGTTTTGGAGAATCCACGTGACACCTACTGCACCTATTTTTCAACACTCTTTAAGTAGTTAGAACACCATTATTATCGATCTTTTTTTTTAAGTTCAACAACATATATAAGTTATAAGTGAATAACTAATCAAGTACCTACATAATAGGCTATGATTCAGACTTTGCTTAAAAGACTGATCGAGGCTTGTTAAGGTGTACGCGCACTGAATCGGTACCAGTCCGGCGAAGGCGGTGACTTGACTATCGTAGATAGGTAGAGGTAGGAATCTGGCCTCTCCAGGCCGAAATGTTTTAGTGGACGCCGGCGCCGTCTATATGTACGATGGTCGCAGTCGCTTTTGCTGGTCGGTCCGATCCGATGCAGTGCGCGCGGAGCCTTATAGTTGTTCCGACTATTCTACTGTGAAGGCGCAGTAGGTGATATTCCGCGTTAACACTCCAAAATACACGCAGTGTGATAGCTGGGTTGCTACCTTTGTATGTTTGCCTCGGCTCCACAAGCATCTACAAGCAAGTGTGTGTAAACAGTCGAAGAAGCTTGTTGATATCAGATGGGTATACTACTAACGTATGTCCAAATAAAAAACGGCATCAAGCAGGCATGGAAATTGAGATTGATGACACTCCCCGTATAATTTAAATACAAAATGACAGCTATCTTCATTTAAGGACATCGAAATATTTATCTACATATGCAAAACTCTACTAAAGACTAGAGTCTTGCATAGTTCTGGGGCTTGCTGACTCTTGCCGAGGCATGGCAAGCATATAGAGGTAGCTTAAAAAAGGAAAGAAATGTGATTTGATCACATGGTTGTCGAGAAGCTAAATTTAAGTAGATATGGTATTACTCACCCATTTTAGGTACAGGAGCACCCAGCAAATTTTCTCTGCAGGGATGGTTGGCCTTAACTGCGTTTACTCTTCTGTTCTGGGCTGCTACAGGCCCCGTCGCGTTAGACAGACCCGTAGCAGCCCCTACAGGACCAGGTATCCGAGGTCCTCTAGTAGGTTCCACCGGTAGGACTCGCCGTCTTTTCTTTGGTAATTTTGCCCTAGCCTAATATAGAAAGAATGTCACTAAATTAAAAGATTAGTAGCAAGAGGATATCACCGAAAGGTCTATAAAGGGTAGGTCCGAAAGTATTCGGGAAACTTCGGCAGCATATTCTGCTGTTAAAAATAAGTAAAAAAAAATTTATGTCCTAAAATGCTTACTTTCAACGATACAGCGCAGTGTGTAGAAGTTTCATTTTAATTTCGTTTTTTTTTCCAAATAATTTCTGAATTATAGTCGACATTTGGATAAAAATTGGTGTCTGGGTGTTTTTTGATTTGAAAAATTTTATTTCGATGTCAATATGATACCTACTTGTAGGGGCGTGACCTACATGTGTTTTAACTGTTTTGAAGAGTAATAACTTTTCGTCCCTATCGGTATAAAACTACCGAGTAAAAAAATATACATTTACGTAATTTTTATATGTAAAAAATGTCTCTTAGTAAAACTCACTACAAGCAACCGTTCTCAAGATAATTGCAATAGAAATAGTCTATACTATATGTCATTATTGACAAAAAATAAACATATTATGTTGAGTAGATAGCTATTTGCCTGAAATGATAAATTTGAGAACTTTTTATTTATTTAAATTAACCATAATTTTTTCTTTGAAAAAAAAACATTTATTGATTATTTCAGTGTAATAACTATTTAGTCAACATGATGACAAGTATTGATAATTTGGATTCCAAATATCTCGGTCAATAGGTACTTATAACGGATTTTTACCGGTACATTCAGGCTGAGAGCGTCGAGCGTCGCGTCGCGTTTGCCTCTTTGAACTCGAACCCCGACTCTCAGCGGACGCTAGCGCAACGCCAAACGCGACGCTGTCTGCCTGAACGGTCTAATTTAAGTTAAGTGAATTGATTCCATTTCGACACGCGGACGCGACGCAAACGCGACGCTCGACGCTCTCAGCGTGAATGTACCTTTATTTAAAAAAATGTCGTAAATGTATATTTGTTTACTCAGTAGTTTTATACCGGTACGAACAAAAAGTTATTATTACGTTAATAATCGCACTAATTTTCATCCAAATATCGACGTTAGTTCAGAACTTATCTGGGAAAAATCGAAATAAAAATAAAACTTCTTCCTGTATAACTAAGCATTTTAGGACATCTTGTTTTTATTTACAGAATATGATGTTGAAGTTTCCCGAATACAATTCGGATTACCTTTTATAGTGCTGTTATTTTAACTATGAACATATAGTTTACGACGCAGTGCTATTCTGCTATTTACACTTTTAAAATGGAAGAGTCAATGCACTGGATTATAAATGTTGGCATAAAACAAAAATTAAATTAACAAAGACTAAATCGATATAAAATACAATCATTAATTTCACCAGCATTATCTAAAACATTGAATTCATATAATAACAAAACCATTTCAAAATATCGATATGTTTTTAGAAATATGAATAAGTATTACAAATAGATAGAATTTCTTACTATGTCTCTCTGTTTATTGATTTAAAACCAAAAGCACTTTTTAATTAAATTTTAAAAATAATAACATATTTTTCAAACCACACGTTATAATATTGTATTAAAAACTTATTAGGCCATGAATGAATGCAAAACAATTAGGCCTTGATAAAATAATATAATGTATAGTAGAGGTTACAATAATGTCTCTATCTTTTGGAATTCAAAATAATTCAAAATTCAAAAAAATTGGAATCTGGTACCCTTTTACAAAAAAATCTTCTCTTTTAGTCTTTATGTTTCAAATTAGTCAAAGAATTAGTTAAATTTAGTTTTTGGTGTTCAAAAACAACATGGTATCAAGTTATATTAAAAATGACCATCTATGATATTTTCTATATAATTTTCATACAAAATGGTATATCTCTATCTAATTATAATGTATTTTTAACTCTGTTAAAATCTGTTTTTCTGCACTAAAATTATGCAGGATCCGGCACTAGTGCGTCGGGTATCTGTAGCTCCCATAATAAAAATATAGGAATTTTATTTATAGGGAAATTAAAATAACTTTCGTTGCACATCATAATACGACCACCAGCAAACTCCATAAGACGACGCATGGTGTGATGACGTGCAACGAAAGTTTTTCCAATTTCCCTTTAAGTGCAAACCACGTATGTATAAGGATGTATTTCAGGAAATTGATATTTCAGCTCTATAAGATAATTATTAATTTAAAAAATAATAATAATTTAATGTAAAAATAGGTATGTTTTTTGGATTCCCTGAAAAATCGTATCAAAAATGATACTGTGACCCTTGATATGTAATATTATACCACAAATATCCGAAAAGCCGTTAAAAATTCTGAAATACTTTAAACAGAAAAAGTGTTCATTTTTTTATTCTCCATCTAATAAAAAATATTATACAGGGTATTCCATTGAAAAAAAACGAAGAAAAACTATTTTATATTTTAAAAAGTTTGGCATATAATTTTGAACACCCTGTATGGTTAAAGATTACGATATTTGTAAAAAAATAAGTACAGATCCACTACAGTAAATACCTAATATAGTTTTTATTTCAGAACATTTCTTTATTTTAAATCATTTTTTGAAAAGAGCCTGAATTTTTTTTTACTTATTTATTAATATTTTTAAAACTCTCAAAACATATTTATTAATACCTAGTGGCATTGTAGCACAACTTGCAGTTCGACTTTGTCGTATCGTACGGAAGTACAGTATGCAAAAAATCAGTAGTACAACGCAGTAGTAGATACGATAGGTTTGATAGTTTGTGTGAACGCACTTCTTGTTGAAACGAAATCTAAACGTTTTTTGTGGCAAATTAAGTACAATACAGTTCATAAAAATTGAAAATAAAAAGTTTTGGACAGAATTTATAAAAATATATCGTTTCCATTCATGGGTGTGTGGAATGTAAAAATTAAGAATAATTAAACAGAAATTAAAGAAGTGCATGTTATGAGAATCTATTGGAAAAATTAAAATAAAAAAAGCAGATGCTCCTTTGGAATATTTAATTACAATTTTTGGGAGAGTTTTTCATCTTCGACTAAAAAACTACCACAATTGCAGCTATTGTCCTTTTTGACTAACACAAAGCCATGGCGAACAAGAAAAAAATCAACTGGGAAGCGATTTATTATACGACAGACATTAAACTAGTACTTTATAACGGCCTACACACGTAACGATTTATCGTACTGCATGTAGTACGATATCTATCGAAACTGCCGCATTAACGATAAATCGTAGCGTGTGTAGGGAAATTGGATGGTTTGCAGTATGCAGTCATCAAATCGTTTGCAGTACGGAGCTTCCGTAAAATATCGTATCAACGGGTCGTGTTTGGGGTGGGGTTTGAACGCAAATCTGAACGTGTGGAGTGTATTCCCTGCCGCAGCGCGCAATTTGATTACAAACTAAATCCATCAAACACGTAAAGGCATCAGAATCCATTCTTAAATAGTTTTTAAAATCAAGAGGTTCTCCTTTTTCCAGCACTTTTACCAACCTCATATGTGAATATTTCTTTCTCTCCAGCAACCACTTTTTTGCCATTTTCGCTTTTTGATTTCTTTTTGTTCATCATCTTCAGCTAGCACCAATACCGCAGCTACAAGCACGGCAGCTTTCTTCTTTGAAATTCTTGACATAACGGTAGCCCTTCTCGACGAAAAGTGAATAATCTGAACTGCGGCAGTACAATGTGTTACATCGTGTGTACAAAAAATGGCTGATCTGCAGTTCAACGTGCAGTACGATAAATCGTTACGTGTGTAGGCCGTTTAAGTTTGTGGACAACAGCGCATCCGATCTGTCGTTCAAACGGTCGCATCAAATTTGTGTTGTACAACCTGCAGTACGATAAATTGTATAATGTGTGGCCCGTTTAAGGATTATGTAAAGTGATCAAAAAGGAAGCGAAAAATGAAATAATATACAGGGTGTTCCATTTTAAAAAAATCATCCTTATCCACTCACACTTTTTTGAGCCATCCTATAGATTTAAAAAAAATATTTTCCTGAAATACATCCTAATATGTGCTTTAGGTCTGCACTTATACAAAATTCCTAACTTTTTTATTATAGGAGCTATAGATGCCGGACGCACTATTGCCGGACCCTGTACACTAAACATCAAACTACATATAACTAAAATATATATTTTCAAATATAATACTGACTGACCTGTGTGTGACTGTAATACATGGCAAAATTTGAAACTATGACTGGCACTGGCAAAGCGATCGTAAGTACACCAGCCAGAGCACACAGTGCACCTACAAACATACCAATGTAGGTTTTAGGCACCATATCGCCATAGCCTACTGTGGTCATCGTTACTAGGGCCCACCATAATCCCAGTGGTATACTTTTGAAGTCGTTATTTGGATTCGTTTGGATACGCTCAGCGTAGTATACCAAACTCGCAAATATAACTATACCCAAAACTAAGAAAAACACCAACAATGTAAGTTCTTTCGCTGATGCTCTGAACGTTTGGATAAGGATCTTCAATCCCGACGAGTGTCTTGTAAGTTTGAATAGCCTCATGATACGGATAATGGAGAAAAATTCCATTATGTCAGCGTTCTCCAAGTGGGAGGCAAATCTTTGGAGCATCAAGTCGATGTAGAAGCTCACTGTGGCTATGTAGTCGATGATATTGACCGAAGATTGAATAAATTCGCATTTATTTGGACTGGCGATGAACCTGAAAATTTATTTTGATATTAAATATCTGTCACTTTCAAAAATATCTATATCTAATAAGCATTACTAACTAATGAATTTAAAATAAGTTGAAATTAGTTATGAAATTTTGGTATACTTTATTTTATATTTTTCAGTGCGCAATTTATTAAAAGTGTTTTTTCGCATTGTTTATATCAAACATAGGGGCAAAAATTTAAAAAAGAGAGTAATATGATACCATGTAATAAATGTTATAATATTTATAAACAGTCCAGAAATTATACGGAATTATAGAGTCTTCCTTGATTTTAACATATTTCTTTTTTGTAACCTTTTAGGACAAAAGTAATGCATTAAGAAAGTTAAAAATAAAAAGCCAAAATTGCATGGTAATCGTAACTGTCACAAAAATATTGTTAATAGGATTAAATGTTGCAAATGGAAAAAAGAAAACTCGCTCCTATTGATTTTACAGCGAAGTCGTAAATAGGTTTTTAAAGGTCTAGGTATGTTGAAAACACATGCCAAATTTGGAGATGCCGTTTATAACTAATTGAAGAGAAACTGATTAAAGACATTAAAAAGTGTGGGGATCGTGCCCTCTAGCATATGCCACTGGTTCTTCCTCATCTATAATTAAAATGTTGCCTATTTAGTTCATAGAAACGGCATTCTGATTAGAGATTTATATATGTATAATAGCTCTAAAAGCCTAAAAGGCTCATGGCTTGATTGCTTATCTTTCTGCATTTGTCTATGTCTGTCGCCTTTATTCTCCACCCATCCACTCTTATCCTTCTCAAGTTCTATTCTACATACTTTTTTCATCTGATTCTCGATCTACCCCTCCTTCTCTTTCCACCTATTTCACATTTTATTACCATACTAGGAATCTTGAAAGAATGCTTCAGCCATTCTTTCAATGTGTCCCAGCCATCTCAGTCTTTGTGCTCTTGCTACTCCCGTTATACTCGGTGCCCGATATAGTTGCTTTAATTCTTCATTTGTTCTTCTGGTCCATATGTTGTCTATCTTCTTTCCTCCAAAAATCTTCCTCATTGTTTTTCTTTCCCAAATCTCTAGCCTCGAACTTTCCGTTGCATTGAACGTCCACGTTTCACATGCCTACAGCACTTCTTATTATTGTTTGGTACATTTTGATTTTTGAACTTCAAGAAATGTTCGTACTCTTAATAATTTTCTGTAATGCGCTGACACATCTATTTCCTGCCAATTATTCTTGCCATAATTTCTTGAGTTACATTTGGATTCCTTAGAATTTTAGAATTTAGAATGAGTGGGAGGGGGGTTAATCACTTTGACCTTACAGATCCATTGTGTCCCCCTTTCTTGAATCATAACTCATCATACAGACCCAGGGCTTTGACAAAAGCCAGTATCTGGGACGGTTTTATAGAGGGTAGTTCTCCATCTCCAATATCAGTCGTACCAAAATTCATGGCACGAATGGTTGTCGTCTCGGCGCACTCAGTGATGAGGTGTACTGGTGTTTCCCCATCTTCCCCACAGAATCTGAATTCGCCGTTTCTTCTTAGTTTCAATCTACTGAGGTGTTCATTGAGGAGACAGTGTCCTGTTAAAAACCCCGTGACAATCCGAAGATTGTTCTTACTCAGACCTAGGAAGATCTGTGATTTTTATTGATCATAAGCCCTCAGAAACTTCTTCGAGTGTCCTAGACCATTGCAAGATTTCCATTCCAGGTTGCGGATGGAATCTTCCAAGTTCTTGAGTTCCTCCTTGAGTTGGTTACCACTTGGAAAGCAGAACGGTTCTGGTCCAGTTAGTGGAGTGTTCGCTCCTTTTCTACCTAGATTATTTGCTTTTTCATTGCCTTTTATCCCTTGGTGAGCAGGCACCCAGTGTAGGAGGACTTTGTTTTCTTTGCCTAATTTATTCAGCTTCTCTATGTATTCTTTGACCAATTTCGAATTGATTGAGACTGAGTTGATCGCCTTTAACGCTGCTTGACTATCAGATAAGATGGCTATTTCTTGTTTCCGATAGTTCCTATCTAAGATAAGTTGTACGCATCTCTCTATAGCGTAGATTTCTGTCTGTAGGATACTAGGGTAAGTGCCCATTGGTTCGGAGTAATTAGCTCTCGGCCCAAACACTCCGATCCCTGTTCCCGTATTGGTTTTGGAAGCATCAGTTTACCAAGTTATGGTATGGTCTTTTAACTGCTGGGCAAGCGTTTCGCTCTTCCAATCCTTCTTATTGCTCAATACTACATTGACATGTTTGTCAAAGTTGTACGTTCTTGGCATATCGTCCACTGGGAGTTGCAGGAGTGGTATTTCCTTTTTGAGGGTGTTCCAAGCCCCTGATCTGACAATTCACCCAGTACTAATTCCGTTAGTGACCATTCTAATCATTGTCGCATTGGCATATCTACCAATGACAATGTGCAGTGGTGTTAGATCTAGAATGACCTCCATTGCTGCTGTTGGACAGGTTCTCATGGCTCCTGTGATGCAAACACATGCTAGTCTCTGGACTTTGCATAGGTTTAATCTTGCCGTCCGTTGCTCTAGTTTTGTGTACCAGGCAACTGCTCCATAAGTAATCATGGGTCTTACTATCATGGTATACATCCAGCGCAAAATGTTAGGGGAGCAGCCCCATCTATTTCCGGCCAGTCTTCTGCATATCATGAGAGCCTTTATGGCTTTGCTGGTAGTGTTCTTAATATGCCTGTTCCACAGGAGTTTACTGTCCAGGGTTATTCCCAGGTATTTAACTTCCTGTGTTGGCAGTATTTCCTTTCCATCGTGTTTTGGATTCCTTAGAAATACGGCTCCTAGATATATGAATTTATCTCTTTCCTCAAACTAGTATCGTTTACCTCTCTAACAATTATTCAATTGTAGACATCTTCCCTTCTCAAAAGGTCTATCTGACCACTCCATAAATTTTGCTTCCTTCTCATTAAAGACTAAGCCTACTTTTTGCCCTTGATTTTTTAGTCTTTTGGTCACCGATATCAGCTCCTCCCGATCTCTTGCTAAGATAACTAAATCATCGGCAAAGGCTAATCATCATTAGTGTCTTTTTGTATACAGAAGGCCCTCTCTGTTGATTCCCGCGTCTTTTATAACTTTTTCTAATACTACACTAAACAGTAGTGGAGATAGTGGATCCCCCTGTCTTAATCCGTCCCTGATTATAATTTTTTCCGTTGTTTTCTTGTTTACTTTGACTTCATTTACTGTCTCTTGGTGTGTCAATTTTATCATCTTGGTCAGTTTTTTGCTAACCCCTAATTCTGTTAATGCTCTAAACACCTCCGTCATTTTAACTTTGTCATATGCCTGCTAAAAGTCGATACATAGGAGCATTTTCTGTTTTCCGTAATCATAACTCTCCGCTTGTATTTCTCTAAGGGTATTACAGATTACCCCTGTATAATACAATTTCGGTTAAATATGAAACTAAAACTAATTCAGTTTATATATTTATTTAAATTATGTTGATTTTTTAAATGTTTAATAAAACAAAACGCGGTAACTCTATTTATGCGATGATTTAATTCAAAATTATCTCGACTTAGATTCAAACTGAACAGGTGTCAATGGAAAACCAGGTAAATGCCAACATACCCTTAAGTTGTCAACTTATAATTTTGTCAATATCAAATTCTATTTTATAAACCTTAGGCTTCTGTCTAATTTGAGGTTTTAAATTGCAAAAATGCATATCGGCAATGCATATCGGCAAATGCAACACTAACCCTAGGTACTGTAACGAAGCAGCGTAGACAGGACTGATTGCAATGAAACAAATTTGATTGAATGCAACAAATTGCATTCTGCATTGAACGCACATCATAAGTTGGCAAATTAAGGGATGTTGACATTTGCCTGGTTTTGCATTGTTACCTGTTCAATTTTAATTTAAAAATTAATGCAGCTTTTCTTAAATTAGTTAAAAAACGGCTTGTCTAAAACTTTTCAAATTTAACATTTGTTTAGCATATGCAGACCTTTAATAGACCTATTTACAACTTCACTGTAAAATCAATACGGGATCCAATATTTGAACACAGACAGCGTATGAATTTTTTTTATAATACGTATTAATAAAAAACTGACTATCTTTTCTAAGTGCGTGTTCCACCTCATAAACAGAGGACAAAAGAAATACCTACCCTTGTACATCAAACAGGTTCACTGTTACTGTTAAGCTTAAAAACGTTTAACAATTATCAAAAACTTCCAATACACGAACTCACTCGTTTAGCCCGGTTCAAATTGCATTACGGATTTAGCAATTATATTCCTTGTTTAATTTACTGTGCCTTTGAAGTTCATGGATATCCTTTTTCTACACGAGTTCTATCTATGTTTGATACTAATGGAATACTTTTGTAGGTATATGTAGTAGCATACAGTTAATAAATTGAACAATGAAAAATAAAATATCACGAAATATTGTCATCAAAAGTTAAGCTCATTATATCACATATTATAGCAATTAAAAATCTATAATTTTCCTCTCGTATAGCACAAACATTTAATGAATACATAAATAATAAAAAAAACATTGGAATAGACTTACCTAATAAGAATTTCAAAGGTAAACCAGGCATTACAGATACATTCAATGTAAAAGAAGGCAATGTGCGCATCTGTATCTTCTTTGTCTATCGCGAAGGCAGTATTGTTCCCTCGTAGTACAATCACCGGTACTTTCATATCTGGATGTGTTTTAAGGCAAAATGAAAGTATCGAGACGCAAATAAAAAACACCGACAGCACTCCAATTACCTAAAATAAAAGCAATCATGACAGAAATATACAAAAAATAGTGTAGAGCATGTAAATGCAAGTTTTCACTAAAAAATGTAATTATTTTTTTATCATCCTGAACCAGAAAGAATGTTTATCAGCCTGAACCAGAACTAGAAATAGATTTATAACGCAAAACTGCCAGGGAATCAAGAATAGACCGATTGAATAAAGAGCATTTACGAGAAATCATGGAGAAATAAAGAACAACACTTGAATATTTGACTACAGTTCATGCCAAATAAACCTTTAGTCACGTGATTACGCTTGACCGGCGCAGCGTTGTCCACTTTTATATATTTTCTTTTAATCAAAATATTTTAGGAAACATATCATAAACTATGTGCCATTTTCCTAAAGCTTGATTTTCATGCATCCGTTGTCCGACGATACGTTGATACGATATTAATATCATTGGTTGTATTTAAAGGCTTCGATTGGTTAACCGTTTCTAACCAACCGAAGTCTTTAAATTCAACCAATAAAATTAATATCGTATCATCGTATCGTCGGACAACGGATGCATGAAAATCAAGCTTAAGACTCAACTAACGAAGTTCAAACCTACAATCGAACGCAGCACCTTAACAGGCAGAATTTTAACAGCTAAAAGTTGACAATTTAAAATTAAAAGTTCATAACAGCTAGAATCTTCTGATTTGAATATGTTCAATAAAGATATCCAAAATATTGTCAGAAATTTATGATAACGGAGATTGCTTTAATATAAAGTGCAGAAGAAAGAGAAAATAGACAAGAATATGAATGAAGGAAACGACGGATCGAAATGGATGAACGAAATTAAAGAAGGAACAAAAGGTATGTATAAAATAAATGTACTTCCGGAAATACCGCAACTTGACAGCAACTTTCTTATTTTAAATGGGTGCCCCCATTTTTTATTGCATAAGTACTTAAATTCTCTGTAAAATTTTATGAATTTTGATATTAAACACTCTAAATCTAACACTGACCGTTTTTGAGAAAAAAACGAACAAAAAAAACTGCCTGTCAAAAATATGTGTATAGCCTAAACGTCATATTTAGTAATTACCACAGCCACTGTGCCATAAAGAGAAAACATGTGGCTATCTATTTCAAAAATTAAATTGTTCGAATTTCATAGAGTAATGGCGGCAGCTGTAATAGAATTGGGCGTTTAAAAAATTATCAAAAATCATTTTTTTCCAATGGAACCCCACTTTTTTTATTGCACTAGTAAAAAGGTTTTTCAATTAGTTACTTTTTGACTATACATGTTCATATACCCAAAATAAATTGTTTTTAAGTTATTTAAGATTTAGGCTGCATTCCGTTGCAAAACCAGGCGAACCAGACCGGTAAACTACGGTAAAGAGCGGTTCCTGAAAAAAATCGGTTTGATACGGAACGGTTTTGGTAAAATACTGGAAACGTCAAATGTTGACGTTTTCTAAATTTCAATACCTCTATTATATAATTTATCTTTTATGCATTTTTAATGTACCTATTCTCTGTTTTTACTTTTGCTTCTTCTTTTCAATGGAGTTTGGTTTGGTTTGGTTTGGATATAATATTGAAAAGTACTTTATTAATAAACTGTTAAACTCATTAGACAGCTCAAGGAAAGATTTGCAGGTCCAATATTAAAACAGATCAATAATAAATAAACAGATTTGTTTATTTATTATTGTTGTTATTTATTATTAAATCAATATTTATATTTTTATAGCTTACAAAACATTCACGATTACTTGTTGTCTTCTTTTTCATGTTTTCTTTAAATGTTCCTGACTTTAAGAAACAATGGCTGCATGATAAGTTTAAATGGTCCTAAAAAGTCATTCTATTTAGTTAATGAAATTAATTTACCTTTACTGCCTACCTCCATTGTTTTTGGATGTAAATACAAAATATTATAACAAATTTCAGATATTAAATGAGAATTTCACTCGAACTTCCAATATATTTGCTTGATTTCTGTCACATAATTGATTGACAAACAAAACCAGAAAAACCAGCCTTGTCGCGCTGGCAGTTTGGTGACAGTTATAACCAAAGAATATACCATAGATAAAAGAAAATAATTTTCTATTAAGATAGATATGAAACTTAATAGTAAAATTTTGGGTCAAAACGCCCCTCCGTGTTCTTAGTAGAGACTACGTTTAACCCAGCGCCTTCGCCTTTTCTGCTGTAAATATTTTTTATGTTTATATTTGATTTCAAAGGATTTAGTTTTAAAGTTACACTGATATATTAATATATCAGAGTAACTTTAATAAAACATAAGAATATATATATTTTACAGTTTATTAAATATAAATTTTGACTACAAGGTAGAAAGTAAATCACAATATTTGATAAAACTTATAAGTATACCATTTTTACAGTTAATAAACAATAAAACTATTTCTGACTATGATATTTAAAATTTAGATAGATAGGATATTAAAAAACATACCGGTATTTGCCGACGCAGTTTGGGCCTGCGTCGGCAAATACCGGTATGTTTTTTAATATCCTATCTATCTAAATTTTAAATATCATAGTCAGAAATAGTTTTATTGTTTATTAACTGTAAAAATGGTATACTTATAAGAATCAATAAAAACCAAAGCTTTTCCTGCGAAAATCGGGCTTTTTTCACAGAAAAGGTATTTTTTGATTTATCAACAATCATTGTCAAGTTGACAATATACACGGTGTTTTCTAATTAGTCTAAAAAATTGTGTTCAAATGTCATATAAAAATAGCGGTATCTGTCATGAAATTGAGCGATTAAAAAACTATCATAAAACATTTTTTTCAAATGGAAACCCACTTTTTTTATTTCACTAATGAAAAGGTTTTTCAGTTCGTTACTTTTTAACTATACTTATTCCTATACCTAAAATAAATTTGAAAACGATTAATTATTAAATTATTTCAGATTTAATTTGAAAACGTATATTTTTTTCTTGATTTTATCTAGCTTCCTATGATATTAACTGTCAAACGGTCAGACAATTTATTTCCATCTGTCAGAAAACGAATTATTTGAATTTCATATATTATAAGTACTGCCTGCTTAAGACTGTTTAAAAAGTGTATTGTTAAAAATATATCTCGTATTTTCGCTCTCTAGTGATATATAATAGTTCATGTTATTAATAATATTCCGTATGATGGAAAAAAAGCAGCGCAAAGTTGGTTCGGAAATGATGCTGCTTTTTGAACAAAGCGTCACAATATGACATGGCCAGATCTATTGTTTTACATCACTTGACGTTTAAAGTCATAGATCAAAACTAAGGGTATATTCCGTTGCTTACCTTGGTTATGGTTTTATGTTCCGTTTCTATGGGTTTTTTGAAAGTTTTCTTATCACATAACACGGTTCCTGAAAAATTCGGTTATAACCAGGGGCGGGAAAGTGAAATAGCAAAAGCGGTTCCACCGTTTCCACGGAAATCTCAAATGAAATAGTTCCAGCTCTAGCCACTAGGTGGTAGTGCAATTAATTTTTAGGTTAAGAAGTTGCTACTAGTTATTGCCAGATGGCGTTAAATCAGAATTTTTTTGTAGTTTCCATAGTTTCCAACGGCCATTGTCATATTATTGTCAAATTCTCAAAAAATATTGTCGTTGTCATAGCAACAATCATAATATTATCAAATAAATGATTATCAAAATGTTTTTCAAACTATAATTTGTTATATGTGTTTTAATTAGACAATTCCTTTTGTTTGTGGCCCTAAAAATATAATGTAAGTCTTTTATTTTTGCTTTCATTTAAGTACCTATTTATTATATTTACTCCATTTACAAAACTTTGGACGTATTACGTTGGTCTTGTTTTATTATAATAAACGATGTTTAAATATTTGACTTATAAATGAAAACTTTAAATAATAAATAATATTTCACATGTTTGGCTTTAATTTTATTTAATAACCGTATAAATTATACTGTTAGATCTTATATTTTACACATCACAACGATACTTGTTATTAGTATTGTTGAATTTGTGTAAAAAAATAAGATTTAATAATCAAATTTAATTATTTTAGAGTAAAATTCAATAAATAAGCTCATTTAAAAAGCCCGCGCTTCGACCCATTTAAAACAAGCCCTACTCAATAGATGGCGCCACTTCTGTAGGACCATTTTTGAGTATGGTAGAGTCCATTCTTTTTCTAGCTAGGTATATTCCATTGCCTGGAAACTTATATGGTGAAATTTTGATAAAATAATTTAGTACTCACTAAAAACACGGTACGTCGCTAGTGGTAGGCAAAATAATTTTTAGAGGTTACTAGTTTATTTGGCTGCCTGTGATATGCATATACAGGGTGTTTTCTAATTAATCGGAAAAATAAAAAATGGTTAGAAAACGGCTTAAGGCGGGCTCTTAATAAGTATATTTATTTTTTTCTCGGCAACCGTTTGATGAACAAGAAAAACTCAAAAGATCAATTTTGTTGAAAAAGAATGGCCAGTCAAGAAAAAAATATATTTTCTTTAAAAAAGCAGTAGTGTACCATTTATTTTAAGCAAAATATCGATTTTTTTTAAATTTTTAACACCCTGTAGATCAGAAAGGAAGTACTTTAGACCTAATGGTTATATAAAAATTGTTTTAAGAACACATGAGGAATCACACCACAATTTTTTAGACTAATTAGAAAACACCGTGTATATTGTCAACTTGACAATGATTGTTGATAAATCAAAAAATACCTTTTCTGTGAAAAAAGCCCGATTTTCGCAGGAAAAGCTTTGGTTTTTATTGATTCTTATAAGTATACCATTTTTACAGTTAATAAACAATAAAACTATTTCTGACTATGATATTTAAAATTTAGATAGATAGGATATTAAAAAACATACCGGTATTTGCCGACGCAGGCCCAAACTGCGTTTAGGGCCACAAACAAAAGGAATTGTCTAATTAAAACACATATAACAAATTATAGTTTGAAAAACATTTTGATAATCATTTATTTGATAATATTATG